CATATGCATACATAAATGTGTATTATTTTTTTTATAGTAAGATTCACTGATATTTTGTATTGATTAAATATGATTAAAGTGTGATCAAACAATACATAATATACTCATGATCAAATCCAAATTTTAAAATGCTCAAACAAGACATGTTAGTTAAACATTCAACTTTCAATTCTCAATGAGAAAGTAGCAACATTTGTATGGCTTTGCTAATTAATTTTTTGTCCTGAACCCGGTCCTTTGTCCAAGTATTGGATCCAAGTCTAGTTAGATTTGGGCATTTGAATGAAAAACATTGACCAAAACAACAGTCCAGCTAAGTGTTTGGTATCCCAGATGATTAGGTCATTGTAGGTGACCTAAATAAATCACAATTATGTTTCTAAGGATAGTGAATGAAAGGGATTTGGATCCTTCTTAATTTTATTTCTTCTCAATTTTAATCAAATTTAATCATCCAATATTACATCAATTGAATCCTATTGGGTGACAGCGACACCATACCAACTCCCTTGTATGGCCAATCATTGTGTTCTATAATTAGAGGGGACGAATCGTAATTAATCCTAAATTTTAATGTTAATTTTTTTATTTACGAGTTATACGAATGAACAAAAACATGACATAAAAATAACAGATTGAATTAATGTAAAATAAGTAATTAAATAAATTTAGTTAAAATTAATTAATTCTCACTACAAACCCTTATGCTCTGAGTGGTAGGAAGAATAGAACGTAGGAGCAATGGAAAATATGAGAGATACACTTTCTATCCTCCAAGGAAGGAAAGTAGGAATGATACACTTTCTTTCTTTTGTGTTTGATAGAACAGATGAAAAATAAAAATAATTAATTTTTTTTGTGCTTGGTAAGGTGGAAAACAATTTTTTTTTTAATTGTTATTTTTTTTTTAATTTTTTTTTTTAAAAAAAAATATAATACATATTTTATCATTGTATACATAATATATGTATATATCAAAGATAGACAAATAAAAAATATTTCAACACAAATAATTAACTTTTTATCTATTTTTTTTTAATTTTAGAGGGATTGATTTTGATGAGTTAGAAAGAAAACTCATTCATCAACTTTTTTTGTTTTTTATCAAATATAATATTTTATTTATCCTTCTATTTTTCTATCGTATCAAACGGAACATTAAATAAATAACTAAGAAACAAATAAGACAGACACAACAGTACTGTGGGTATGCCCAATGACCAAAGATAGCACTAAACAGTACCACGTAGGAGAGAGTAGGGGCGTGGGGTGTTTGTTGTACCGGCTTAGCGAATTCTCAACGGAATTACCTAAATGTCAACAACAAATAAATGGACAACGTTAGCTTCATTTATTGGTAATGTTTGAAGAAGAGTCACCAGTGACAACCCACATTGCATTACGTAATGTACTCAAATTAATTGAGTGAGGTCTTTTTCACTCCTGCTTTGTTAATCCCTTTTGGAGAACTCAATAAATACGTGCGAATCCATTCCATGTCAACTAAATATGGCGATTTAAATGCTATCAAATCCCACCAATGATGAGGATCTTTATATTTATATGCTTTGGTCAAGTAGGACCCACAATGCCTCAATTTATTTATTTATTATTATTTTTTTTTTTGGTGTTTTTACTTTTTACTTTTTGATTTGTGATTATTACAAAAAGAAATAAGGGATGAATAAACAATTAACATGTGTTCGACTTAAGAAAAATATTATTTGTATTTAATTTAAATATCAAAGTTTGGGGACGCAATCAATTAGAATTGTTTGATGCAAAGTGTGTCATATTCAAGATACTTTGAACCCAATCCTCGGATTTGACAAGAATTGACCATTGCTTATTTCATATCTTATGAGGCTTAAACTCTTACCTTCCTTTTATTTTAATACTAACATTAACACAAGTCTCATAAATCATTATTATAATAAAGTTCGAAATGAATCACAAGTCTATGTTTTATTTGGTATGATGAAAAAATGGGATGATAAGAAATAGGAAGATGGAAAGTTAGAGGGATAAATAAAACATCATATTTGGTAAGTAAGGAAAGTAGGAAAAATGAAAAAATGGATGAATTAACTTTCCTTCCAACTCACCAAAATCAATCCCTCTAAAACCAAAAGGAAAGTGGATGAAAAATTAATTATTTGTGTTAAAATGTATCTTATTTATTTATATATCTTTTAATATATATATATATATATATATATATATATATATATATTTATATTATGTATACATTAATTTCATATAAAAATACAATGGTAAAATATGTATATATATATATTTTAAAAAAATTTTAAATTAAAAAATATATTTTTATTTATCTTAAGTAAATGTAAAAATTTTCGACTAAACACGGTGACACAACTCGAACTCAATATAAAAATAAACATGTCAACTCGCAACTCGACATGACACAATTAATTAAATGAGTTAAGTTAGGTTTGACTAATATTCGACACAAACCCGTAATGACTCAACACGAATCTGACAAGACACGACTTGATTGTCATCCCTAATTTTAGTCAGTACAAAAAAAAATAGTCATTTTTATTTTTCATCCATTCAACCAAACACAAAGGAAGAAAAATGTATCATTTCTACTTTTCATCCTTAAAGAATAAAAAGTGTATCCCTCATATTTTTTTATCATTCATACTTTCCATCCTTCATACCAAACAGAGCATAAAAAAAAAAAACGAATCCAGAAAGAGTGTAGAATATAACCCTCGTAGAGAGGGATACAAAAGAGATGAATCACTATCTTTGTTCGGACTAATCTCTGACCTTTTAATTGGGAACATTATGGATGATCAACTAGATTAGGCTCGATTGATTTCTTACCTACGTCATCAAAACTAAAGACAAATTAACCATATGGGTATAAAGAACCAGAAATAATCCATAACTACCTCATCTATATATTTGGAGTTCATTAGTTTGTATAATGATTTCGTATCAAGTTTTAAGATCACATGTTGGTAAAGACATGGAATCACCGTGTATAAAATATTTATTTTAGACTATGAGTGTGAAGAGATTATATTATATGATTTCGTATCAAATTTTAAGATCACTTGTTGATAAAGACATGGTATCACCGTCCATAAAATATTTATTTTAGACTACGAATGTGAAGAGATTATAGTAGGTGAAAATTTTCCTTTGGGTTTTTTTTTTTGATTTTTTGGGTAAAAATGAAGCATCTTATTTTTCATATTATTTTTTTTCCCTAAATTAGATGCTATACCATTGCTATCAAAAGAAAAAAAAAAGGGAAAAAAACAAACTCACATGTCCATTAGGGAACAATCCAAGGACCAGCATGTTTTCTTTCTGACTTTGCCACGCTATAGGATGATGTGCCTCGGTGAATTTGGACCACCAAATCAACAAATTGGAAGAGAAACGATAAAGTTAAAGCCACTAGGGCGAGAAAAAATACACTTAGAATGAAACTTTAAAAAGAATTCGTTTGGATAAATATGATAATTGGTTCATAAATTTTGTCTTTGATTTAAATTTGGTTATTAATTTTTTTTATTTTTTTAATTTAGTCTTTCAGTGATCAATTTCATCTTAATTAAGTCTTTTCATCGATTTTTACCTTAGATCAATCGAAGACTAAACTATATCTGATTCATTTCAAATGTTAAATCAAATGTTTTTTATATTGATCTAACAATAGAAATAAACGAAATAACTTAATTGAGATAAAATTGACAGTTGACGAATTAAATTGGGATAATTAAAAGTTTATAGACTAAATTAAAATCGGAGACAAAATTTGAGACCAATTATGATATTTACCCAATTTGAATATACATAATATTGTGTAACCGATGATAATAGTGATAATTGCAGTGGTAGTTTCGCAAATATTATTTGGTATAGAAGAATGCAAGCGATTACCTCTCCGAACTCCGCAATAACTACAATTTTGTGTACTAAATCATTTTTTTTTTAATCTTAGATTGAGGTATGAGTGGTAAAGGATGAATTGAATACATGTTTAACTAGTAAATATTATTTACAGTAAGTCAATGCTCTCATGTACCACCAGCACACGAGTATACCAGGCCTATCTGACACTCATCTTATTTGGTAAATTACTCTTGACTTTCCTTGGCATATGAAAAACTCCATGATCATCCTCTAATTTTTCAATGTTGATATGATATTCTCTTATTTTAAATTAATTGATCCCCACTTACCTTATTGAGCTAGTAACACAAAATGATTATGTGAGCAGAAGTGATGCTTAGAAATTATTATTATTATTATTATTTGCTTAGAAATTAAAAATGTGAATATTACGCTCTTACTTTTCACTCGAGCAAAATTGATCACATGTCTGATCTTTTATACATTTGGATAACAAATCCACTAATCGAACTCTCCATTTTTCTATGCAGTTCATGTGTGTGTTGATATGTGCATTGTTACACCCTGCTCAACAAATACACTTACACGAGCATTGGGTTTGAAAATATGACATGATTTTGACTTTTGACGACATTTTAGAGAAAGGGGAATGATTACGTTGAGAGGAGAGGGATAGGGGTTTGACAAGTTTATGGGGGATGGAGAATGGTTCTTGGGGGTTCTAACCTAGTTCTAGGGGGAGAATTGGTTTCGACTTTAAATTCAGATTGAATTTTTGATATAACTTGTGTTAATGTGTTTTTACACTTTATTTTTTGAAAAGTTGATCATTGTTGACAAGCCAAAGGGTAAATATGTCATTCCATAAAAAAAATATTAACACTGACCAATTAAATTGTTCAATAGGAACGTTTCTATCATTTTATTAAATATTAAGGGGAGATTATGTAAATAATCCTAATTTCAGGGTCTATGAGTGTAATTGACACTTTCTTATTTGTTTACGTTTGCATCACTCCAGTCTTTGAGGACACGACAAATACTACACTTGTAAAGATATGTTATATCTTCGCTATCTTCACCTCCTACTCGAATACAAAGTTTCAAACATCCAATAATGTAAAATATAATACATACCCGGAATAGCCGAAGCATCTCTCTCTCTCTCTCTCTCTCTCTCTCGCCAAAAGTCGCACAGCACCAATCCTAACCCACATTGCTTTCTCCACACACTTTTCTCTTTCTATATATCTGTATCTATAGGACTCTGAGTTGTTCGCTGAGTTAGTTGACGATAATGGAGTTGGAGTACGGGAAAAAGGAGGTGTTCGACGCCGAGACGGCGAGTGCGATGATGAAGGAGCTGAGAGACGCGTTTGGGAATGGTAAGACGAAGAGCTTCGAGTGGAGAGTGTCCCAGTTGGAGAGTTTACTGAAAATAGCAAACAATCACGAGAAGGAGATCATTGATGCTCTTTGTTCCGACCTCTCGAAACCTGAATTAGAATCGTTCGTCCACGAGGTTTTACTTCTCTCTCTCTCTCTCTCTCTCTCTCTCTCTCTCTCTCTCTCTCTCTCTCTCTCTTTTTGATCTTGTTGACTTCGAATTTTTGCTGTTTTTCAAATTTCAAGCATTCAATTTTTGATTTTATTTTGTAATCAAATATAGTACATATTCAGATATCTCTATTGCAGATTTACTTCCAAAAACGTTACTCTTTTTGAAGAAAAATTCTAATATATGTTTCTTTGTTTGTTGTAGTTTTGATGTCCTGCAAACTGCAAAGTATATACATATGTACATAGACATATATATTGATATATGTATAGTTGTGTTATGTGTGTGTGTATGTGTCTGTTTTGTGTGTATCCGTTTTGGGTTTTTGTTTTATTATTATTTTTTTAATTTATGTTTATTGGATGATTGTGCTTCAAAAGCTGGAGTATGTCAGGACTAACAGGTTATGGGCAAGGAACTGGATCTGTGTATTTACAGCATCCTTTCTGTTATACATGAGGAATTTGTTCGTATAGGTTGCTGGTAGGAGCATTAATTGCTTAGCTTTCCATAAAAACAATTGGCTAGCCTGTTTGACTTTTTCAAAATTGGTAACCACAAATGGCTTGAAGCCAAGTTTTGGTACTAGGTTCTCCAAATTTAATGCCTCTGTGCTAAAACTTTGTTAACTCCTTTTTGATCACACATGCTTTTTGTCAGACATGCTTGGGCTTCAAGATCAGATTTGAGGATAACCACATTGTGCATATAACACCAAATTTTTATCTGTACCCATCCACCCATCACAGCACCTTCAATTAATGGAGAACAATATGAACATTATGCACCATCGGGTCCTTTCAATTAATGAAAAAGTTCCCACAGTTTGAATTCTGTGTTTTAGCTTTGGGATACTTTGGAAGTTGGACAATAATTAGGAGGTACCGGGGCATGCTCTAGTCAACTACTCAACTTTGCCTTGTCTAAGAGAAAGGGATTAATTTGAATGTATTAATCAACAATTTGGAAGTTGCATATGCAATGCATGTTTTGTTTAGAAAGGAACTTGTTATCATATTAGCTTTGTCAGAAAAAAGTTGTATGGTAATTTTATCTGTCCACTTTTTATGCCACAGTATTGTGTGAAATTTTAATGGCCTACTGTTTATTTGGGGTTCCTTTGAATAGGTGATCTGAAGAATGCTTAGAAATTTTTTCAGTGATCATAATATGATTTTGCTGCTATATGTTTGAACTTTGAAGGCATTATGGATTTCAGATATTCTAACATTTCACTTTGGTTATTCTTCATTTTTCATTGATAGAGTAGATTTCAACTTCGCGTATGTTGCTGATTTCTTTCAGTCCTCCCACCGCGTTGAGAGGTCTGTGTCACCTCCCTAGGTTGGCTTCCCCTCTGTGTCAAATGGAACATCTAAATTCCTTATATTCTCTGTGGGATTATGTTCTAGTTGTTGAGACTAAACAATCGTTCTTTCTTCCATGGCGAATTTGAGTGATTTATTTGGCATTTTGCCTTGATATTTATAGATTTAATACTGGTTAGATTTTTGTCAAGTTCCTTCTCGTTGGATCTCTCTGCCTTTTACACTTCACCACACATAATTGAACTGTTAATGTGAGTTTGACTTGAGCACAAGCATTTCTAAAGGATTGTTAAGTCCTCTGTACATTAGCTTGGTACAGAACAGACTCGGTTATTGGCTACATTACATGGTATATACTGGACATAAAAAAAAGCCACCTATGTATTTGACTATTGATTTATTTTCCCAAGGTTATGGTGCAATAATTTCCGTTTTGTGGATCTTCCTTTGTATGGAACTTGTACAAGTTACATAATCTGTTATGTTCCACAATTCGTTTCAGTAAGCGTGATTCCTTGGGATATGATTTATATATTTTATCATGCAGATAGCTTTAATGAAGTCCTCATGTAAGTTGGCACTACAGGAACTGAAGCATTGGATGACACCACAAAAAGTAATTTCTGCCGAAAGCTCGATTTTAAATTGGATTGTTACGTGCATGTTCTTTTGACAGTCATTTGGTCAAGCACTATATAATTCAAATCTTTTGATATTTGCAGGTTAAAACCCCAATTACTACTTTTCCATCATCAGCAGAAATAGTTTCAGAACCATTGGGTGTCGTATTGGTCATATCAGCATGGAACTATCCTTTCTGTACGTTCAAAACTTTGTTTGTTATATCTTTCGTGTCATTTAGTATAAAAATACATTATATACTTCCTGTCCTAATTTAATACACAAATAGCTGACTAGGGACAAAATTCTCCAGGCTATAGCCAAGCAAGTTATGGTTGCAAGTTGCAACTTGCAGTTTTACTGAATTTTTGTTAACTTTGACACTCCTTTCAACTGTATAAAATGGTAACCACATTCATACTTATGAGTTTCGGCTGGGAGAAGAATCAAAAAATTACACGCCTTGTCCTTGTTGCCTACATGGTCTCCGTTAGCCATGTATTGAACTAGTGCCAAGACTAACAACTTGTTTTTTGTTGTCATCTGTCTCCAGTGTTATCTCTTGAACCAGTAATTGGAGCTATTACAGCTGGTAATGCTGTGGTTTTGAAACCGTCAGAAGTTGCCCCAGCTACATCGTCACTTCTTGCAAAATTTTTAGGGGAATATATGGACAGCTCTGCAGTAAAAGTTGTTGAGGGCGCTGTACCTGAAACATCTGTACTATTGGAGCAAAAGTGGGATAAAATATTTTACACAGGTTTTTTCCAATTGCTATTTCATTTAGCTTACGTTACATCATGAACATTAGATTATATAAATCCTGGAAAGATGTTATGTTAATTGAACTTGGTGCTGATTCTTATTTGTTATCTTTCCGTTAGTCATAATGCGTACAACATATTTACTGCTATTAAGCAAAGGAAGGACTAAATTTGGCTGCTCAAGTTTGCAACACTTAAAAAATTTTTGGTCAAACTCTAGGTATTATTTCAATACTGTTTAGCATATTTTCCACTGCACACACATTTAAAAAGCATTTATCACCCAAGAAAGGGGAGGAGCACGAATCAAGATTTGTGCATGGAAGACCAATGACAATATTATTGTGTTGACTGAGGTTAGTTCTTATCAAAGGTGGCCCGGGAATAGGAGAAAAATGCATTAGGACAGTAGTGAGGTGATGTAGAATTGACCATTTCAAGGAAATGGCTGGTGTGCTTGCTGGTGGCTGAAATTTGTCCAAGTTGTGGTTGGTCTCTTAAGTAGTGGGTAGTCAATTAAGAGGGTTTTTACAGAGGATCCTAAAAGGGTTGTTTTTTCTAGCAGGGAATGGAAAGATGGGATGTGGTGTCATTTTGGAATATATAGTGCGAGAATGCTCCTCCTTGAATGTCTTTTTGGATTTCCACACTATTGCAGCAAGGGATTAGGTGGTGCATACCATTGCTAAGAGGACCAGGACAATCACGGGAGTCCTAAATTTGTTGATAGCCTCGTGACTATATTTTGGTACAAACTCTTTGATTCTTCCGAGATTAAGATAAGAGGTTGAGAGTTAAGGGGATTTGGAGAGAGGTGGCACTGGAAATGTTTGAGGAGTCTTCTTGTCACATATTAGTGAGCAATGTGATGAGGTGCATAAGGGTTTTTTCCTTTTTTTATTGGGTAATATTGATTTGTGTACGCATGGTTTGATTCCAATTGGTTGCAGTACAACTTAGGAGGATATGAGTGGCTAGACCATCATTTGGTGCATTGATCGATGCCATGGTTGCTTTTGTACTTTTGTTTTTCTTTAGTAGATAGTATTGCATAGTGCCTATATTGTCATGGATATTTTTGGTGGTGTACAACTAAGGTTCAGGTAGGGAATAAGTCCTTTCTGCAGCAGCAACCCCATGTCAAAACACTGTATTTTGAAAAAAAGAACATGAAAAGCAGGCTTCCTACACAGTTGTCTTCTGATTCTTATTATCATTCATTAAATTGAAGAAATCTTTTCAGCTGACATAACTATCTACTTAAAGTAGCTTTTGCCTGTTCAAAGAAAAAATAAAATTTTAAGCTTTTGCCTGTTGGAAAAAAAAATGTAAGCTTTTGTACCTGATATAACTACGAGATTAAGCAGACTTTGACTGGACACAGTTTGGCTTTTCATACCTGATACCTATGTATCGTCTATGATAAAAAAAATATAAAATTGCAGGAAATGGAAGAGTGGGACGAATTGTAGCGGCTGCTGCTGCAAAGCACCTTACACCTCTAGTTTTGGAGCTTGGAGGAAAATCTCCTGTTGTTGTCGATTCAGATGTCAACCTAATGGTACAGATTTCGTCTCTCTTGCACATCCTAGGTTGTGCGAATTCCATTTTACTTGTTTATGGTGCTATTACTGCCATCTTGTTATCTTACACTGCTTTGCCTTTGTTTTAAAGGTCGCAGCAAGGCGAATTATTGTAGGCAAGTGGGGATGCAACAACGGACAAGCCTGCATTGCTCCTGATTACATCATAACAACCAAAGATTATGTTCCAAAATTGGTACTGTTGCCCATTCTGAAGAGCTATATATCATCAACACTGCAGATACTAATATGTTGATCTTGTCTTCTTCTAATGCCGCTTCTACTCCAGGTAGATGCTCTGAAACTGGAGTTGGAGAAATTCTATGGGATGGATCCTCTGAATTCCGAAGATTTGTCTCGCATCGTGAATTCCAACCACTTTGCTCGCTTAAAAAAGCTATTGGATGATGATAAGGTTTCTGGTAAAATAGTTCATGGAGGTCAGATGGACGAAGGCATCCTGTGAGTTTTGCTGCATATAATTTTTTTGGCTTTGTTGCTTATTTCATAATTAAGTTAAGCTAAATTGGAAAATCTATTCATATTGTTCATGCTTCTTTCCCTTGATGCAGAAAAATTGCTCCCACTATTTTACTGGATGTCCCAGAAGACTCCCTGATCATGAATGAGGAGATATTTGGTCCTTTACTTCCTATTCTCACGGTAAAAATCTAGACAGCCCTTTGCAGAGTTTTCCTTTTGAGGTTCCTTTGTTTCTTATAAGAAATTATGAGTGGTTGATAAAGATGAGCATGAGTAAGCTGATGTTTGTGTGATTTAACCCTCATAGAAAATGATAACTCGATCTTTTGTGAAGAATTAGAACTAGCAATAGAAATAAAGACAGTGTTTTGGAAAGCAACCGATAATATATGCTTAATTAAGTGTTAGTTACATGAGCCAGGAAATTTTGCCTGGGAATGTGACTCTGCAGAAACAAGCGGGACAGAGAAAAATTCAATCATTAGAATGGTTTTTCTTCTTTTGTTGTATTTTGAAGCAGCAAGCTTGAGGCACGGTTATCAATCATGATATTATCTTTTTGTTGGTTGAATAGGTTGACAAAGTGGAAGCTAGTTTTGGGATGATTAACTCCAGAGATAAGCCACTTGCAGCATACTTATTTTCCAACAAAAAGAAGCTCAAGGAGGAGTTTGTAAAGACTGTTTCTGCAGGGGGGTTGGCTGTCAATGATACTTCTCTACATGTAAGTATTCTTCCTTGTGCATAATCGAAAGTTTTCTATATAAACACACATGCAAACATGATTTCATGCATATAAACTTGTGTGAGATGTTGTAGTCACCTTTAAAACAACACCTCAGTTCTGCTGTTTGACCTGGGTTGACTTGGTCAATAAATTTCTAGATGGTGTTTTATTCAAGAAAATTTTCTGAAGATTATCACGAAAAATAGAAAACCCATTTGAGGAAAGATTTTGGCTGAATTTTGTTGGATAATATTTATGGCAATGTTGAATGAATCGGCACCAAGGCCGATGTGGCACCCTTTAGAAAGAAAAAACACCTATAACGTTTTGTATGTGTATTTGACAAATCAATTGGGAGATATTTAGAATCTGCAATAGTTATAACCATATTTCAGAATATCTATATGGGTAGAATAAGATGATAAAGAAATGACTCTAGATCTATTATTCGAAATCACATGAATTGTGATATTGATTGGCTTGTAACAAGTGCTAACTAGGGTCAAGGCTAAAACTAGATTTTCTTGACATTTCAATGTAAACAGTAGTTATCGCTCAACATATCTGACTTTGTGATATTGCTATATCTATGCTTGATTTATTTGTTTATTGAAGTGATATGCGTGTACTGCAAACCTATTAAAACATGGATACGTTTTCACTTACTGAGCTATACACGTATAGACCCATGAATATGTATCTGCTCAATTGTGAATTGATTGACCTGGATTGGAACCATCAACTTGATTGTGCAGGTTGCAGTTTCTACTTTACCATTTGGTGGAGTTGGGGAAAGTGGAATGGGTGCATACCATGGTAAATTCTCTTTTGATGCTTTCAGCCATAAGAAGGCAGTTTTGTACCGTAGTTTTGCTGGTGATGCACCGGCCAGATACCCTCCATACACACCTGCGAAGCTAAGATTTCTCAAGGCTCTTTTGAACGGTGATATACTTGGCATTATTAGAGCTTTGTTTGGGTGGTAAGGTTTAGAACTACCAGAGATACCTCTACAGTAGTTATATATTTGCATTATTTGTTCACCATATGGCTTGTCTATGTATTACCTAAACCAGGTAATGCTGTTGCATGTCTGATATAAGTTGTTTTCTCTCATTTTTATATTTTTATTTTTATCACATTTCTTTGTCCACATATTTGTTTTAAGGTCGGGAAATTCTGCATATAAAGAAAATAAAATGTTATCTTTTGTAAATGTTGTATAAATTTTTGTGGGGATTGAGTTGTGTGAAGTGGACAATCACATGAGTTATGGGGCCAGAATTTCAGCAACATGTGCTCTAGTGTTCTGATACCACTTGTTCATTAGTGCTACTTCTTGTTGGGAACTTTCCTGGAAATATATGTGACCTTGTTTTCATCTCTGAAAGAGTTTCTTGTGACATGTTGGACCATCTGGGGTGCGGTGTTGGAGCTGTGGGGGCAGCAATGTGGGTCTGTGCCGGGGGGGGGGGGGGGGGAAGGCAGGAGGGTGGCGGTGGGGATGATGGAGTGTGGTAATGGGCGTGGAGAGAGAAAAAAGGGGTGGGGGTGGGTTGCGCTGCAGGTGGGGTAACAAGGAGAGGGCTTAATTTGTCGGTCCAGGTTCGGATTCGGGTCAGGTTCGAGATCTTGGTCTAGATTTCGATCGCAATTGTTTGATTTAACTTTTATCATTAACTGAAGGAGCAGTTGTCTTTATGTTATAATGGTTAATGTTGTCCATTGAATTGGGTCTTAGTTTCATTTTTGAAATGTGAGAAGATATCCGTATAATAAGAATAAATTCCGGGGATCCATGTGAGATTTATTCTAATATTATCTATCTAGTCAGATGAAACGGGATGGACCGTTAATCTTTTGATGAACCTTATAAACACATTTCCATAGGATTGGAGAGAGGATCCATCCTAGCAACAAATAGATGATGTAAAATCGTATCCACTTTTTTTTTTTTGTATAGCATCCTATTTTTAATGACATCTCCTATGTTATTTGAAACTCCTTCATAAGTATTTTTCTTTTAAAACAATTAATGAAAACTATTCTTTACAAAATTATCTATGAAATTACCTCATCAAAAACTATTACGATCGTGCACTCCCAACATAAAGTTAAAAATAATTCATCTTGAATTCCAATCCCCTCAACAATCCCAAGTTTGATATCCAAATTATTTCTTAATTAATAAACATGATGGTAAATGGTTCCCACTTGTTATCAATCCAATGCTAACATATAGCTAAAGGAATAGGGGCAAGAAAGTAGAGCTTTACTATGTTGTGTCATGTTGGATTTATATCGTATTTAAGTCATATTCCAAACCTTTACCTGACCAACCCACAATCCTCAATCACCCAAATTAATTCAATCTATCTGATTCATTGTCAAACCTTAAGGAAGAACCCCAAATTGACTTCAATGACCCCCAAATTTTCCATACATAAACCTAAACGCTGACGAAGAACCCAAAATTTGGCTTCCATATTGAATCTCCCTCTCTCTCTCACCAGTGCAAGCGACATTATGCCATCGCCACTGTCAACGCCTTCCTCTTCTCTTAGGTATCCCTTCTCTCTCTCCCCCCCTTCTCTCTCTTTCTAGATTTCATCCTATTTTTGTGTAGTTGCATAAGGGATGTGTTTTTGGGGTTGAATAATTGAAAAATTGAATCAGAGTTTTTGTGATTAGGGTTGCATATATGGATGTGGATTAAACAATTGAATAATTGTTGATATATAGTCGATTGTTTCAATTATTTGCTCTATATATGAGTTATGATAGTGGGTTCAGAGCAAGAGAAGAGTATTATAACATATGTAGATGCAAACTGGGGGAAATTGCAATAACATGTTAGTTATGAGAATTGTGTAATTTATATTTCTTCCAAATTATTAGGAAGAAAGAAATAGATTATCTTCCAATTTCTTTCTTCTAATTTTTGGGATGACAAGTCATCTTCAAAAGTAATAGATAATCTGTCATTCTATGTTCCTCACATCTCCTTCAATAGTATACATGTACATAAACATAGTTATTGCTCTCTTTTTGACTAGATTTTTTTCTTGTTGCAACTAGAAGCACTTGCACAGCTTGAAACCTAGCCATCTACCACACTCGTGCGATAACATCTGTTGTGTTAAAGAGCTTCAGCTCATAGATAATATCTTGACAATGTTAATGTTAGGAGGCACACGTGGGAAAAGGAAGGCAGAGGGGGGAAAGTTTAAAAGGAGTGCATAAGAAGTATAGGCTATCTGTGGATAATAGTAGCAAAAATTCTTAAAGGAAGAAGAAATATGTAGTTGTTACCTCTAATCCAGTAAATACAGTTGATCCCTCCTCAAATCTTCCAAATTTTGTAAGTTCATCCAATCCAACATAAATTGAAAAGAGTGGTATGATAGGCTCTTTTCTCATGGGCTTTTGTTATAGGAGCATGGTGCTTTACTGGATGAATTAACAAAAGTTGAATGTCCTATCATTCTTGCTCTTTATCAATGGAATTCTAGAGTTGATATCAAGAAGGAGGATAAAGCATATGATACATTAGTGAAGATATTTTATGCAATTGAGAAAGATGATCACAAGTTTATGTTTTTTGTTAGGAATATAGAGTTTGAGGTGACTCCGAAGTTAATTGCAACAATATTGAATGTTATCTAACCCTTCATTGCTGAGAATACGGTTACCAGAAAGACCTTACTTCGACTTATAGGATTTTAAAACGTATAGTGGCTTGCGATATCAATTCGAGAGGATATTGTGCAGAATTTGGAATTGATTATGCTTATTTGTTATACAAGAATGCCTAAATTATAGTCATCCCTTTAGTTCGGGGATACTTACATGTGGAGCTCGGCTTTGTTGAAATCGAGCTCTTTCTCTTTTTACTGAACACCTAAACAGTTCAACCTTGCATCATGAAATGAGAACCCATTGCTTGACTTGGTTGCTACTTTGTTGTTTCTTCACGTGATCTGTCACATCATCCTCACGTGAGCATATTAAATGCTCCTGGCACGTGGTGCCTCTTCATTTGCCCCCAAGAAACATGTGTTAGGCGAATTTTCGTCTGGCAGTCGTTTCATGCTCCCAATTTATCATTACATGCCTGAGACATGCACTTCAGTTATCACTTCATGTTTTGTCCTTTGGGCTTCAGTTGTTTTTTCAAGTTTATGCTTTTAAAAAGGGGTGCAAGTCTTCCTTTCTTCTTCACCTGCCCTTCTTCCTCTAGCTTTTTCCTCTGCTCTCCTGATTTTTATCTTCTTTGAAATGGCTCCTCTTACTTCTTCAGAGATTCTTGCTTTAGAACCAAGTACCAAATTCCTGGTGATGTTGACATTTGTGTTGTTGGGACTAATGAGCCTCTGATTGGCACTAGAGAGAGCATCCTCTTGAAGGTGGGGTTCGCTTCCTTCTTCATCCCATTCTTCTATGGGCACGTTCAGCACTAAAGTTGTGCCCCATCCAATGCTACCCAAACTTTTTCAGAATTGTAATGGGCGTAGCTGCCCTCAACAAGTTGCTGGACTTGAGCTTGGACCTTTGGGAGATCCTATTCTACTATATCATCAAGCTAGTTGGAGACAATTATTACCTTGCAGTAAAGAAGAAGGATCGTTGCCTACTGACCCACCTCCTAGATTCGAACAAAGGTCATGAGAATGACATTTTCTTTGTTTCTGGCAATTGGGAGTATGCTATTGGTGAGACTCATTTCTTATTGATGCCCCTACAAAGAAGGCGCACCAGGTAACTGACAATATGCTCATTTCTTTTTTCTTTTTAGGACCCTTCTCTTTTACACTTACTTTTCCTTTTTTCGTAGGTGAAACTGTAAAAGGAGGAATCCCAGAACGATCAATAAAGATGGAGGAACTAAAGAAGGTGTGGAACTTTAATGAATCACTCTTGTACCGAGCAGCCCATACCCTTCTCGGGTACACTCCAATTTATGTCTTTTATTGCTTTTCCTCCCCGTCCCAACGCTACTCTTGTCGACAATCGTCAAGCTATCCAGACTACTCGGGATCAAACACCTCGCTGTTGCAAGAAAGTCGCAATCGGCCCCTCTAGGAGAAACAGGGTAGTGAGGAATTTTCTCGACTTTCTTTCTTCAACTGAAACATCTTTTGTTCCCATGCAAAATTCTGTCGAACCTAAAGAACTTACTTCGGTAAACCCCACCTAGGTGGAGCATGCCGTTCACTTGGAGGAACCCATAGATGATTCAACTAGGGCCTCAATGGGTGCCATCCTTGCGCCCTCTATTCATTCTAATCTCCCTTTTGTCCTTTCAGAGCCTATTCCTTCCTCTTCTGATCTTCCAAAATCCATTCTTGTGCTATTTGATGATCTTGCCACCAAGAAGTGCAAGGTGCCAGTATTTGATGCTTTTCTTCCTTCAGAGCCTGTGATCTCCCTTTTTCAACCGGTTTTGAGGGCTAAAAGGAGGGAAATCACTGTCCAAGATTCTACTACTGAGGACTTCAATGTGGTAGAGGGCATCGCTAGAGGGGTGATTTTTACTCACGACTTAGCTGCAAATGAGGAGTTGTCTAATGATGAAATCACTCGACAGACTATCTAGCAGATGGTTCTGGTATTTTCCTACTTTCCCTTTGGAAAGTCAATTTTTTTTTTTAGAAATATCTTTTACACGCCTTTCTTTGTGGTCTGTAGAGACTTTAGAAGGTTCATGAAGTTGGGGCAAAGATTGCCAAGAAGGATAAGGCCATGAAAGAGGCTATTCATGAACGCATGTCTGCCTTGGTGAAGAAGGAATTTGTTGATGATGAATATGCAAAGCTTTAAGAGGAGATGTTGGTTCTTCAGGCTCAAATGCTAAGCCTAACTGACGAGAATAAGAAGCTTGTAATGGAGGTAGAGGATCTGAAAGTATTTGAAAGTGCAACCAATGTAGAGCTCTCCCAAACCCAGCTTGTCATTTTAATCTTTTGGAAGAATTTGAGTGGTAGGCTGAAACTAAGGATCTAGAAGATGAATCCTTTGAACAAGGAATGGTGAAGGTAAAAAATGACTTGGCTTTTTAGATTCCTACTTTGGAGAAGGCGTATTTCTCTAAAGGCTAGTTTGCCGCCTTGATTGCTGCAGGTGTGCCCCAGTTCTTAGAGCTTTGTACTCATTACGCTACTGCAAGCTCATCCGAACCACCCCCTTCTTGAAAACAAGTGTTCTGAAAAAATATCTTGAATTCGTCACTTTTTTTTAAGAAAGGTTGTAACTCTCTTTCCTTTTTTGGATATATATAATGAAGACCCTTTCAACAAGTCTCTTATTATTATTATCAGTGAGCAGAGTAAAATTCATTCTGAAGTATTCGATCCCAAGCCCTAAGCAAGGGACCCTTCATTATTCAGAATGAATTTTGCTCTAAGAAGTTATGGACCTTGCTCAGCCTTTCTTTAAAGAGTTCGGTCCCAAGCTAGGGACTTTTCTATACTTAGAGTAAATTTTGATCTTAAGAAGTTATGGCCCCTATTCAACCTCTCTTTGAAGAGTTCGGTCCCAAGATAGGGACCTTTCGATACTTATAATATATTTTGGTCTTAAGAAGTTATGGCCTCTGTTTGGCTTTTCTTCGAAGAGCTCGGTCCAAAGATAGGGAGCTTTCAATACGTAGAAGAAATTTTGCTCTTAAGAAGTTATAGACCCTGTTCGGCCTTTCTTCGAAGATGTCAATCCAAAGATAGGGACCTTTTGACACTTGGAATAAATTTGACTCTTAAGATGTTATGGCCCCTATTTGGCCTTTCCTCGAAGAGTTTATCTTGACATTACTTGGAAACTAAGACTCGGTCACCTTAGGTCTTGAAGAGTCTGTTTCCATATATGTACTGACCTGTCGATCTAATCGGGCTCAGATAACTACTTAATCGGTTTACATTGTTATGTCTAACCTTGGGTCTGGATTTGATCAAGTGGCTACGCCTGATTTAAGTTTCTACTTCTATCAAGATTTTTGCCTCCCTACCTTGGCAATAGGTTGGGTTTAACAAATTTGCACCAAATCTTTATTTAAAAACTCAAAAAATCCTTTTAAGGAGTACATAGAAGAATATTCTCAAAAAGATACCTCTTTTCAAAAGAGACGTCCTATAAGGGGCACCGCTACTTTTCGAAGGCACTTTGGAGTTCGTATTTGTGAAAGTACTTCAAAAATAAAACTTTCACAGATTAGATGAATTCCAGGGTCGTGACACCACTTTGTGCTAGTTGATACTCATTGATGCCACTTGAGTTGCAAGATTGTTGAGTGAAGGGGATCGAAAAATTCACGATGATTCAATGGAATTATGGGTGAAGATGAGTTGGGGTGAATAGATTTTTAGAAGTTTGAAATTTTGGAAGAGTAGGAGTAGTTGTTGGAAGACCCTTGTCCCTGAAGGTAGAGCTGAAGGGTGTTTAATAATGCAGAAAATCTGCTTTGGGTGCTGTCCAGGCCGAATATAATGCTAAAAATTTATTTTAGGAGTGATTTGGGGCAGCAGGGGAGTTGCCAAGCAAAAAATCAGCGTTGGGCCGTTGTTTTGAGCACTTAGGCGCTGTCCAAGCAGAAAATTAGCACTTAGGCACTGTTTTGGAGCGCTTAGGCGCTGTCCAAATAGAAAATCAGCGCTTAGGTGTTGTTTTGGAGTGCTTAGGCGCTGGGCTTCTGGTATTGGCTCCTTGTGTGAGTTTAAGCAAGTTCCACCCTTACTGTTCAATCCTTGGGACCTGCAAACAATTGACACACTAATTAAAATGCACTAATAATCTAATATCATAATTACTCCTAAAAAAAACTAAATTGACATAAACATGAATTAAAAATTAAAAGCTAAATTTTGAGTTGCCTCCCAAATAGCGCTTGTTTTATAGTCTTCAGCTTGACTACTTCCTGTTTCATCTCGGGTCGGCAAGGTTAATTGAGGTCTTTTCGCGATCAATGTCGTCACCCCAATATTGCTTCAGTCTCTGCCTGTTCACCTCGAATTGACTTCCTCGACTTCAACCGCTCCATGCGGGAACACCTTAGTAATAATGAATGACCCTGATCACCTTGATTTGAGTTTTCCCGCGACGAGCTTTAACTGCGAATTGAAAATGAGTACAACTTGACCCGACTCAAACTTCTGCTTATTGATCTTCTTATCTTGCCACCTTTTTACCTTTTCTTTATATAGCTTGGTGTTCTTAAGGGGATCTGAAATGTAGGTTCCTACGAATACCTCATTCACTGCATCTTCCACCAAATCAACCCAAAAACATTCTTCTGCCTCCTTTGGAAATTTCATAGCTGAAAATACATTGAATCTAACCCCTTGATCTTCAACTCGCATAGTTAGCTCACATTTCTGTACATCGATAAGTGTTCTCTCTATTGGTAAGAATGGTCACCCAAGAATAGTAGGTATTTCCCTATCTTCCTCATGATCTAAGACTATGAAATCAGCTGAAAAAATGAACTTATCCACTTTAACTAGAACTTTCTCAACTATGCCCCTTGGATAAGTGAGTGATCTATCCGTAAGCTGTAATGTGATGTTAGTAGGCTTTGTTTCTTTCAAACCCAATTGCTGATAAATTAAGAGTAACATTAAGTTAATACTAGCTCCCAAGCCACACAATGTTTTTCCAAAAAATTGACTGCCTATTGT